AAAAAACGGGGTATAGGGGGGTTCAGGAAAGGATAAAAGATGAAAAGGGTTCAAGTCGACATAAGATGGGGTTTGACACTGCATTTAAATGAATCGTCGAAAAGATAGACATAGTAAAAAAAAAAAAATGGAGACATAGATTTGATTTACCGTAGACTCAAAATGTTCGACACAAGCTCGGTTACATGAGGGTCAAAAAGTTAGATATGATTCCACAGTTGGAAAGTGCGAGAAAAGAAACTGTTGGAGTAGAAGAGGTGGTTACATTTAACTATAATCAACAGTAAAAGGCTGGGACCTAAATGCCAATCTAGTAGCACACTTAAATTCATGTAGTCGGGCACCAGGGTAAAAAGCTCGTCAAAACAGTTGCCATGAAAAGCCACATCACGTCTGTCAGAAAGTGAGTGAAGTCAGGTAAGGTCTTGGAAGCATTAATAATTTCTTTTACAAAAATTGATTGCTGGCAATATTTTTTCCTTACTAAAGTGCATTGCTGGTAATATTTTTTTAATTTTTAATTTTTTGTTTTTTACAAAAACGTATTGCTGGAACTTTTTTACGATAAAAATGAGTAAGTGGCACCTTTACTATACAAATGTATTTCTTTACTTTCATAGTGCTTTGATTCCAGTATCAGGGTGGCGGACACTAATTGCCCGTAGCTAGGACCCTAACAGAGGCTGCCACCCCGTGTTAGGTAATCCTGGGACCTATATTCGATAAAAAATGTATAAGTGGCACCTATACTATAAAAATGTATTTCTTTACTTTCATAGTGCTTTGATTCCAGTTTCAAGGCGGGAGGGGAGGCACTATTTGCCCGTAGCTAGGACCCTAACAGAGGCTGCCACCCCGTGTTGGGTAATCCTGGGACCTATATTCGATAAAAATTGTATAAGTGGCACCTATACTATAAAAATGTATTTCTTTACTTTCATAGTGCTTTGATTCTAGTTTGGGGGGCACTATTTGCCCGTAGCTAGGACCCTAACAGAGGCTGCCACCCCGTGTTAGGTGATTCTGGTAACGTTTTTACGATAAAAATGTATAAGTGGCACCTATACTACAAAAATATATTTCTTTACTTTCATAGTGCTTTGATTCCAGTTTCAAGGGGAGACACTATTTGCCCGTAGCTAGGACCCTAACAGAGGCTACCACCCCGTGTTAGGTGATTCTGGAAACAGCAGCAATTAACATGTGGTTCCATGCTCCTCAAAACCTTCCGATCACAGGCCTTGCTGCCGGATTTAGTTTATCGTCATACCCAGGAACTGGTGAAACAAAAAATAGAGCTCGTCTAGATATTTGCCATGGAAATTGCGTTGTTGCCGAGATAGTTTTGCGATCAGAATTACACTCAACAAGTTGAGAGATCTGAGAATTTCAAATACATATTTCTTTTTAAAGGCAGTATTTGTATTTACGAAGAATTAAAGCCTCCATTTTAATTTTTTTTTTTCAATTTCCGTCTTCTGTTTTTAAAAGGTTAACAGAACGTCTCTAAATGTGGCTGTTCCTGGAAGCAAGCGTATTCCAGTCTCATTTGTGACTTATTAATACATTTTTTTACGTTTCTATTTTTATTCTTTAAATCTTCCGTGGGTTGGGAAGATAAAAGGAACGTCTAAGAGACAGAAAGACGCAGACATGTTGGTTCCGGCGCAGAGCAGATCATTAACACGTCGAGACGAAAAGCAAAATAGGACATCAAAGAATGTGGGCAAAATTCTTCAATCTATTTCAGTTCCCTCGGAAGGCTTTTATTTTTTTTATGAATGTATGTGGTGTTTACCTCTTTTTTAAATTCTTATCTTTCTTTATTTCACAAAGTTTAGATCAGAGTTCATAAGTTTTTAATGACATTGTTAGTGAGCTTGATGGTACGTACTAAGTCATAGACTATTACCGAAATCTTATCATATTGCCCTTAAAACAAGTGCAAAATTTGCGACTAGACCTATTAAAAGAAACGCAACAAATTACGCAGTGGGTATGACGATAAAATACATCTGGCAGCAAGGCCTCTGGTCAGGAAGTTTTCAGGAACGTGGAACACCTCTTAATTACCATTGTTCCTAGGTCCATCCAGATCCACGGAGGTAGCACCCGTTAGGCCCAGGTATGGGCAAATAGTGGACACGCAAACTGGGGTCAAATCATTATATATAGTACCAGGAATACATTTTTATAGTAAATAATTATCAGCAATACATTATTGGAAAAGGAATACACTTTTGAAAAATAAATTTCCAAAGCTTCCAAAAAATTAAATTTCGGCATTAAATGACCCATAAGGAGTTGATATGCCGTTAAACAATCTAACCAAAATTAGGCAGTACTTATTTCGATTAACAGCGTCACTTAAAACGATGACTTTGCTACTTTTCTTCTCTTTTCTTTACTGCGATTCTTATATGCTCTGTCTCTTCAAGACCTGGACAATTATGGCTCACTACGGTTTCTTGCTCTTAGTAACGTTTGTCTTTTTTCTATCTCTCCTAATCCCTGTTGCGCCAACCATTTGAAAACTCTCGTTAGCCTGCTTAGGCGCTGCTTTCCCCTGTCCAACTTGCCTGCAAAATGCCTTGTGAGTGTCAAATTTTCGAAACCCTCTTTCCTCATTATGCGCACAAGAAATGATGTCAAACATAAATATTCATGTTCTCTAAAACTTCGTCCTTGCTCACACATTCGGCTCTATGGTATTATCAGTAGCCTTTTGTAGAACGATATTTCTGTTGCTTCAAGTCTCGCCTGCATCTCTGTGAAGATTATCTACCATTCTCTGCCATATAGTAGATCTGATATTACATATCAATTCAGTACTATTTCCATTATTCGGACTATATGTCCTCATCTTTGTCGCCATTGTTTATTACAACGTTTCGGTCGTTGTACGCTCCGGACTTCTTCAGCTGCTTGGAATGACACATGGCACAGTGGATAAAGGCGTTGGTTAGATCCAGTGACAGGGCCCAAAGAGTGTGAGTTCAATACCTGGTTACGGCGGTGGAGAACTTGGAGAGGGGAATTAAAAGGGGATAACTGATAACTGACATCCATTAGACATAGCACGTGGAACTAGAACAGTCTACCCCAGTGAGCGAAATAAAGGGTTAAGTTCGACATTCCAACCACCTGAAGAAGTCCGGAGCGTACAATGGCCGAAACGCTGTAATAAATATGGCGACAATGATAAGGACAATAGTCTGAATAATGCAAATAGTCTACATAATACCTCATCTCAGAAATATAGACAGACACTTCCGTACTGTTCGCTAATTATAAAAATGTAAAAAGTTTTCGTTGGCAATACTACAAGTGACAGACTGCTATAACAAGGCACAGTCAGCTATTTACGACTTATTTGTTTAAATAATTTACTGACTTTTGTTTGTGCCACGTGAAAACAATTAAAAGTTAATTGAGTAACAAAATAATAACAAAACTGACTGTACAGACTTGAGAAGATCAATATAATGGCCGTGTTCGAGGGAAATCACGAACACGGCGACTACGTAGTTTGTCATTAGGTGTATGTAGTAGTGAACTTATGATCGGTATTATTTTTATATGCATTTGGAAAAAAATACGACATCTCATATGACTAATTGCACGTTATCGAGACACGCCGTTAAAAAAGGCAATTGCTTGGAAAATTTTGTAATATTCCAAGCCACTTTAAAAGAAACAGATAACGAAGAAAAATATACATCGGAGTAACTGAAGGACCATGCACACACTGAAACTATGAACACAAAACATCCTTTACATATAGTAAATATGCGAACAGTACAATTCTTTCTAAACATATATGGGAAATAAAAAAAACAAAAAACAGCATATTACACTAAAAAATATGGAAAATAAGCGAAAAAAAGCATCAGCCGACAACAATAAATCCAAAAACTGTATACTGTGATTGGAGATAAAAAGAGCTATAGTCACAGTCTCAGACCAAAATAAATTACTAAATAAACGATCAGAGCTTATCTCAAAATGCAGATTCGAAAACAAATTTGTTACAACGTTACTTAAAAATCGAAAACTAATAACGAATACCTTGTAAAATGCTACCATGATAAATGCAAATATATGCATTATATGTAACATATAAACTCCAACATACTTTGGGTAATGCCGATACCTTAAACAAAATAAAAATATAAGAAAAAAATAAACCAAAAAATCTAAATAAATAAATAAACAAATTAAGTAAATTATAAACAAAATTTCCTTATTAAATGCTAAAACAATTTTTAATTTTTATTTTTCATTATCTTATATCAACTGTTTTGCAGTTCTGCTCAAATAAATTGTTAAGTCTAAAATCAAAAGGTATATTTTATCTTTATTTTGATTGACCTTAAGAATTTGGCCATAAGATTTTGACTGGCAGTTTATGTCACACCCAGTGAAGATCGAAATAAAATAATGATAGCCTGTTATGCCAGTTTGCGTTTCGTTGCTCAGCAGTGAAGAAAATATTATTTTGTAAACTGTGCACTTGTGCAAATATCACCTCGTAAAAAATCGAATTTGATATACGGACGAATTAAGTTACAAGACATGCCTGCGGAATTTTTTTGCCACAGTAGGCGCACAATTCAGATTTTCGATCAAGTATACATTTCAATGTTGATTTCAATTTATAATTTATTCCTTCCTAGAGGACCCCTAACATGTCTGAAGCTAAAAGTATGCCCTTTAGACTTTGCGAAGACATTCTGCTAGTCTATCGGTTAGTAAGAAATCTCTAAAATATTCTTTCTCGAGATAATTATTGACGGATTTATTTGTTAGATGATTATGGAAATGTCTCTTTCCAGGGCCCATTGTACCCCACCTCGAGGGATTTAACATACGAGATAAGGATGAAATACGAATTTTAATGAAACCGAATTTTAAACAAGTTTATTCATTGGTTACCGACGAGAAACAAAAAACAAAAGCAAACGACAGACATTACAGCAATCAGTTTCAATTTCAATAACCGAAGGCAAGAGATGGAGTGTCGAAGAAGAAACGAAGAAGATGGCTGAAAAAAAGAGAGAGAGGATTGAGAGGAATGAAGAAAAAGATGATGAAGAAGGCGGAAGAAAAATAAGATGCAAAATAGATGAAAAAAATGAATTTGATGAGTGAACGGGAGTAAATGTGATGAAAAAGTATGAGATAGAAATGAAAGGCAAAGAAGAAGAAGAAGAAGAAGAAGAAGAAAAAGAAAAAGAAGAAAAAGAAGAAAAAGAAGGCAGGTGAAGAAGAAATAGGAAAAGAAGAAGACAAAGAAGTAGTAGTAGTAGTAGTAGTAGTAGTAGAAGAAGAAGAAGAAGAAGAAGAAGAAGAAGAAGAAGAAGAAGAAATCATTTGAAGAACGAAGCAGAAGAATGGGGTAAAAATGAAAGAATTAATTTGAAGAATAAGGAACAGAAACACCAAAAATGAATTAGGCAATAGAAGAAGAAATAGAAGAAGTAGTAGTAGTATTAGTAGTAGTAGTAGTAGTAGAAAAAGAAGAAGAAGAAGAAATCATTTGAAGAACGAAGACAAATGAACGAAAAACAATTAGGTAAGAACTCGGAAAAAAAGAAGTTGAAGACGAAGACGAAGTAGTAGTAGTAGTAGTAGTAGCAAAAGTAGTAGTAGAGGAGAAGAAGAAGTAGTAGTAGTAGTGGCAGTAGTAGTAGTAGAGAAGAAGAAGTAGTAGTACTAGTAGCAAAAGTAGTAGTAGAGGAGAAGAAGAAGTAGTAGTAGTAGTAGCAGTAGTAGTAGTAGAGGAGAAGTAGTAGTAGTAGTAGTAGCAGTAGTAGTAGTAGAGGAGAAGTAGTAGTAGTAGTAGTAGCAGTAGTAGTAGTAGAGGAGAAGAAGAAATCATTAGAAGAACGAAGCCAAATGAACGAAAAAGAAATTAGGCAAAAGAAGAAATCGGAAAATCGGAAGAAATCGGAAGACGAAGAAGTAGTAGTAGAAGCAGAAGAAGTAGTAGTAGCAGTAGTAGCAGAAGAAGAATTAGTAGTAGTAGTAGTAGAAGAAGAAGAAGAAGAAGAAGAAGAAATCATTAGAAAAACGAAGTAGAAGAATGGCGTAAAAATAAAAAAAAAATTTGAAGAATAATAGAAACACTAAAAATGAAAGAAAAAGAATTTGGTAAGAGAAGAAGAAATAATAAAAGAAGAAGAAAAGTGGTTCACTGGAAGAAGTTGTTTGAGTTGAACATACTTGTCACCAAATACGGATGGAATATCGGTGGTTTTTCTAGCTACAATGTAAGTAACATGGCTGGTCGTAGACGTGAAGTTTAAACCTGGCCGAACCAAAGAATTTAATTCGTCGAAGGACTTTACGCAGATAGTGAATTATAAATAAATTACAGAATGACAAGTACAAACCGAATGAGACAAGACGTTGGACTTCTTCCATTATGTTCCATATTTCTTAATGATATGGACGATTATGGCTCTCCATAACTTCCGATCCTGTGTCGCCCTAAGCCAAATTCTTCCCCTTACTATCATTCTTTGGTGCTGCTCTGAAATTCATACACACAAAGTTCTTTAGGGAGCTTACTCACACTGTCCTTATGTCACACTTGTCCTTTCAGTGCCAAATTCTCTAAATTTTCTTCCTTCATTCCAAGTTGTTGAGAGAGAGATATGGAAATTTAGTTGTGAGATTTCATGACATTGTCTTTATGATAAAAATATATTTTACTAATAAAAATTCTATTAGCGTGACGCACACAAACACGCACACACATATGCACATACACATAAACCCACACACATACATGCATATATATATATATATATATAGATATATATGTATAAAATTATTTCAAACACATACACACATATGACATCCACACATTCATACACACATATATATAGACACACATATCACACGCACATGCATAAGGTCTCTTACATATTTAGAGATTCTTGGTAAATCTAAAGAAAAATCTGCAATGTTATTAGTCCTCATCTGACATCTCGGTTTCTGTCACTTTCCTACCGGTGTAATGCTGCTTTACTTTGCCATTTCTATAAATACTTTCATGGAAATTGTTTTGAAGAACTTTTAACACTGGTACGTAGACTTTATGAATTTACAATTTACGATTCTAATGTAACCGCAGGTTCTATGCTAACAGTTTCTTTCCTTGCACTGAAATTCTTTTCCTGCGTTTTGCTTCCCAGTCAAATTTGAATGCAATATCAATCGTTATTTTCTGTATTCCTAAATTTTGATCGTTTCCTTTAATATTTTTTTCATATTCTCTAACACGCGGTAACCCTACTTTTGCCTTGATTTTGGTTTATTTATATATATATATATATATATATATATATATGAACAGAAATATATATGTATATTTGTGTATTTAGGCAGCAATATTTCTTTCATGCACATTTCATTGAATACAACAGACAAGTTGCTTTGATTTAGTTTTTATACAATTTCTCATGTTATCTAATAATGTTTTCCTTGTTAACAGCTAATATATTTAAAACCGTGAAATGACCAAATGTATAGCCGAAAGTGCGCGGATAAATAGAACAATTGAACAGTTTTATATAATTTATCAAAGAAGGTGCTGCCTAAATACACACACACACACATATATATATATATATATATATATATATATATATATATAAAAATATATACACAGAAATATATATATACACATACATAAATATATATACAGAAATATATATATATATACAGAACAGAAATATATATATATATATATAAATATCCATACAGAAATATATATATATATATATATATATATATATGTATCCACTCAAAAATATCTCACATATATACAAACCAATATTTTCAAAAGTCACCACATGCACAGAGAACAGAAATTAGAATTCTGTTTAAAGTACTGGGGTTCTCTGAATTGTAGTAATATTGGTGTAATAAATACGGTGACAAAGATGAGGACAATAGTCCGAATAATGTAAATAATGTACATAATATCTCATCTCAGAAATATACACAGATTTTGAAATTTTCATCAAAATGCAACAATTATCTGATAGTTGGAAGAATTATTTGTATAGATGTTTTTTGAAAACAAAAATACGGTAAAACTCCCCAACTAGGAACCCGTTAACGTAAGAAAAACAACAATTTAAACGGAATTTCGAAGTTTCTTAAAAGGATTAATAGCTATAATTTAATGATCAATAAATCATTTGGTATTTCTTCTTAATAATACGAGAAAGATTTTAGTGATAAAAATGAAAAAGAGTGTACAATAGGTTTACATTTGTCACTCCCGGCTGAATAAAGAAGCTCGTGATATGCTTGCAACTTGTTCTGCAAGTAGAGGTGCGCTTTTGAACATATTGTTATGGTCCGGTTCCTTGTAACACAGTGATAGTCCAAGGTAGAACCAATAAAGATGGACTCGAATAAAGGTATGGAATAACACAGATATATTACAAACAGGAATATATACAGAGAAGTAGAAGTGTTAGTATGAACAATCAGGTTTAGTAGGGAGAACAATGTAGTCTCGACCAGTATCACTATTCCAATGTCTTGCAGTAATTGTCTGAACGCGACTCTGTTTCGGACTGCCTCTGACTCGACTCTTGACTCGACTTGAACTACCGACTCGACTTGACTGACGATATTCAGTCTCTCCCCCCCCCCACTGGGGCAATATATGACAAAGGTCGGTTATTTTTTGTGGGTTTTCCGAGCCCGTGGGCTCGGCCCCAAAATATGCCCATTGAACCTGTATAAACGAGTTCAGGGCCGGTCTACCTTCCCGAAGGAGACTCCGCCCTTCGGCGTAGACTCCTTCGGGTTCCTCCCGTCCGTAGGAAGAGAGTTTAACCGAACAGTCGCTCAGAAAGTACTGACTCGACTGACTGACGATATTCAGTCACCCCCCCCCACGAGGGTGTCATGTGGCACAAGGCCTTTTTAACGTGGGCATTCCCGGGCCATTAGGCTCGGTCAAAAAATAGCCTATTTGAACCCGTATAAACGGGTTCTGGGCCGTTTAACCTCCCGAAGGAGACTCCGCCCTTCGGCGTAGCCTCCTTCGGGTTCCTCCCGCCCGTAGGAAGAGAGTACAACCAAACAGTCGCTCAGAAAGTACTGGGTCGACTGACTGACTATATTTAGTCGTCCCCCACGAGGGCGTCATATGGCACAAGGCCTTTTTTAACGTGGGCAAGGCCTTTTTAAAACGTGGGCATTAACCGAACAGTCGAGCCAATTAGGGCTCGGCCACAAAATAGCCCGAGTTTGAACCCATTTGAAACAGGTTCAGGGCCGGTTTTACCTCCCCGAAGGAGACTCCGCCCTTCGGCGTAGCCTCCTCGGGTTCCTCCCGTCCGTAGGAAGAGAGTTTAACCGAACAGTCGCTCAGAAAATACTGACTCAACTGACTGACAATATTCAGTCACCCCCCCACGAGGGGTGTCAGGCCTTTTTTGTGGCACATCAGGCCTAGCCCATTTTTAACGGGTTCTGGGGAATTCCCGAAGGAGACTCCGCCCATTCGGGTAGCCTCCTTCGGGTTCGGTAGGAAAAGTTTAACCGAACAGTCGCTCAGAAAATTTGAACCCAATATAAACGGGTTCTGGGCCAAAAATAACCCATTTGAACCCGTATAAACGGGTTCCTGTTTTATTTTCCCCGAAGGAGACTCCGCCCTTCGGCGTCGGGCCTCCTTAGGAAGAGGTTCCTCCCGTCCGTGAGGAAGAGAGTTTAACCGAACAGTCGCTCAGAAAATACTGACTCAACTGACTGACAATATTCTGACTGACAAGTCAGTCCCCCACGAGGGTGTCATGTGGCACAAGGCCTTTTTAACGTGGGGGAGCCATAGGCTCGGCCAAAAGGCCCATTTGAACCCGTATAAACGGGAATTCCTCCCCGAAGGAGACTCCGCCGTAAAAAGTTTAACCGAACAGTCGCCCATTGACGAACCCGTATAAACGGGTTCTAGGCCGGCCAAAAATAGCCCATTTGAACCCTGAACGGGTTCCCGACCTCCCCGAAGGAGACTCCGCCCTTCGGCGTAGCCTCCTTCGGGTTCCTCCCGTCCGTAGGAAGAGAGTTTAACCGAACAGTCGCTCAGAAAATACTGACTCAACTGACTGACAATATTCAGTCACCCCCCACGAAGAGGCCTTTTAACGTGGGCATTCCCGAGCGCATTTGAACCCGTATAAACGGGTTCTGGGCCGGTTTGGAATCCCGAAGGAGACTCCGCCCTTCGGCGTAGCCTCCTTCGTTCCTCTCGCCCGTAGGAAGAGAGTTTAACCGAACAGTCGCTCAGAAAATACTGACTCAACTGACTGACTCCCTGCCTACTGACTGAGGCGCAGTATTTA